TTTTGAACATAGATTCTTCCAATAGTATGGATAGAGCATCCTTGTGGCATTGTCGTCTTGGACATGTCAACAAGAAACGCATAGCCCAACTCCAAAAGGATGGAGTGTTGGAGTCATTCGACCTTAGGGAAGATGACACGTGCGAGTCTTGTTTGCTTGGAAAGATGACTAAATCACCCTTCACGAGTACGTGCGAGAGGGATGAGGGTCTATTGGACCTAATACATACCGATGTATGTGGACCGTTTAGATCAACCACGAAGGATGGGAACCGCTTCTACGTGACTTTTACCGATGATTATAGTAGATATGGGTATATCTATTTAATCAATCAAAAGTCAGAAACCTTTGAAAAGTTCAAAGAGTTCAAGAATGAAGTGGAGAATCAATTGTGCAGGAAAATCAAGATGCTTCGATCCGATCGAGGAGGAGAGTACCTAAGTCTTGAATTCCACGATTATCTCTAAGAGTGTGGAATAGTTTCACAATTGATGCCACCTAGGACACTACAATTGAATGGTGTGGCCGAAAGGCATAATCGAACCTTATTGGATATGGTTCACTCTATGATGAGTCGTACTTCACTATCAATCTCTTTTTGGGGGTATGCCTTAGAGACTGCCGCCCATATCCTTAACCGAGTCCCTACTAAGAAGGTTGCCAAAACACCTCACGAAATGTGGACATGGAAAGCTCCCTCATTGGCACATATCAAGGTTTGAGGTTGTGAGGCTTTCGTAAGACGAGATACTCACGAAAAGCTCGAACCTCGAAGTGAGCGATGTATTTTCATCGGCTACCCGCAGAAATCCTTTGGATATCTCTTCTATAGACCGAAGGACAATGTTGTCTTTGTTGCGAGGAGAGGAGTTTTCCGAGAGCGAGAACTCATAGGCCAAGGAGACAGTGGGAGGAAAATCGAGCTTGAAGAGATTCAAGAGTCGATAGATGAAGGAACCTCTACCGCTGGCGCTCAACCCGAGGAGGAAACTTCGGTTGAACGAATTGACGAGTCCTTACCTCTTAGACGTTCCGATAGAGTTAGAGTTCAACCCCAGTTTTATGGTTTTCATATTACTACCGAAGGGGACACGTATATTAGTGACGGTACACTAATAAACCTTGATGAACCTAACAGCTATAAGGAAGCCATGGCAGGCCCGGAGTCTGCGGAATGGAAAGAGGCAATGGATAGCGAGATCCAATCCATGTATGATAACCAAGTTTGGAATTTGGTTGATAATGTGCCCGGACGTAAGATTGTTGGGTGCAAGTGGATTTTCAAGAAGAAGACCGACGTGGATGGAAACATACACACATATAAAGCGCAATTAGTTGCGAAGGGCTTTACTCAAACTCCCGGAGTTGACTATGATGAGACCTTCTCACCAGTTGTGAAGATAAAATCTATTAGAGCGATGCTAGCGATTGCCGCATTTCATGATTATGAGATTTGGCAAATGGATGTCAAGACCGCTTTCCTTAACGGAAAGTTAGCTGAGGATGTTTACATGGCACAGCCAGAGGGGTTTGTGGATTCGAAGCATCCGAATAGAGTGTGTAAGCTTGAGAAGTCCATTTATGTACTTAAGTAAGCGTCTCGCAGATGGAATCTTTGCTTCGATGAGAAATTCAAAGAGTTTGGATTTGTACGAAGCGAAGATGAATCATGTGTATATGTCAAAGCCAGTGGGAGTATAGTTAGCTTCCTCGTTCTATATGTCGATGACATATTACTCATAGGAAACGACATTCTGACTCTGCAGGAAGTTAAGTCCTGGCTCGGGAAGTGCTTCGCTATGAAGGACCTCAAAGAGGCTTCTTATATTTTGGGAATAAGGATAGTAAGAGAAAGAAGTAAGAGATTAATTGGACTTAGTCAGAAAACTTACTTAGAGAAGGTACTAAAACATTTTAGTATGGAAAACTCAAAGAAGGGAGAATTACCGATACAAAGTAATGCCAAGTTGAGTAAGACTCAAAGTCCGAGTACCGAAGCTGAAATAGCAGAAATGAGCCGAGTACCATACGCTTCCGCAGTTGGCTCAATCATGTACGCTATGACTTGTACTCGCCCTGATGTAGCCTTCGCTTTGAGCATGGTTAGCAGATATCAAGGGAATCCTGGCAGAGCCCATTGGATTGCGGTGAAGAATATCCTTAAGTACCTTCGGAGGACGAAGGAATGGTTCTTAGTCCTCGGAGGGAGTGATGACTTGAAGGTGAGAGGGTATAGTGACGCCAGCTTTCATACCGACAGGGACAACTACCGTTCGCAGTTGGGCTGGGTTTTTACCCTGAATGGAGGAGCAGTGACATGGAAGAGTTCCAAGCAGGAAACCGTAGCTGATTCAACGTGCGAATTAGAGTACATTGCAGCGAGCGAAGCGTCGAAGGAGGCAATATGGCTGAAGAACTTCATCAGTGATCTTGGAGTTGTACCTGCCATAAAAGGAGCCCATGGAGATTTTCTGTGATAATGAAGGAGCAGTTACCTTGACCAAGGAACCGAGGGATCATGGTAGATCACGACATATCGACAGATAATATCATTTTATTAGACATCGTGTAGAAGAAGGACAACTCGTAGTGAAGAGGATATCATCTGAAGATAACCCAGCAGATCCGCTTACGAAGGGACTGAGTAGGGTTAAGCACTTGCAGCATGCTAGGAGTATTGGGCTGAAGGATGATATTAGCATAGATTAGATAGATAGTATTAGAAACGTGTAATAGATAAATGTAATTAACATTTGATGATTAAATAAAGGAGTTTTATTTATGAGTAATGTTACTATCTTATGTTAATTGTTTAACTATTGTTTCACTTTGCATGTTTTGACTTCCAGAATAATTGAATTTATTAAGAATAATCGAATTATTCAAATTGTCCACAATCATTCATATGTTGGAAGTAGATATGAATGAAGATTGTCATGAATTGGTGTGTAGATTGTCTAAATGGTGTTAGACATAGCAAAAGATTGTTGCGACGTTCATGAGTGCTTAGGAACTAGTTTTGAGCATTGGAACAAACCTGCGCTTGCTGGAATCACCTTATGGAATATGATATAAAAGGGTGATCGCAAGACGATAATATCATATAGTCTTAAAACCTAGATATATGGTTTGTTATTTGTTAATTGATTGTACATTGATAATGTGAAAACGCATCAGTAACTTGATGTTATAAAACACATTGTTGTGTAGAGTTGGTTAATGAATAAGTAAATGCATATGAGTCGAAGTTTATCTTTAACTTTTATCCTAAGAAGGTAAAAGCGATATCTCGGCCGCTCGATGATTTGATTTGACTTATGTGCCGGGCCCGGTCAGACATGAATTGATGTGTTCGATTAAGTTCTATGTCGAATAAATCAGAGATCGAGAAACCTAAAATGCTTGACTAATCATTCCATAGAATTGTCAGCATGATATCTAACAAAGGACTGTACGATCCCTTATCTAAAGGACAAGATTGATTAGATCTGAGTTTGACAGCGTCTTTGAGAGCTACGATTGCAAATCGAATTGTACTTGTGCATATAGTTACTAGACTTATCCAAGTGGGAGACTATTGGAATAGTGTCTAAGGCTGCAACTATATTAGACAAGTATTTGACCCGGTTGTGCATGGTCCTTTTGGGTTGCCTTCACCATAGCAACTTCATATGATGATTTATTAAGAGAGAATAAATATTATTAATATATTATGAGAATAATATAAAGAATAATGATATTGTTATTTGATTAATATAAGTCATAAATTAATTAGTACTAATTTGGTGACTTAAAGAGATTAATTAAATAAGAGGGTATAAACTGTCAATTGTTTGATAGTTAAACTTTAGACTGTAAATCCATATTGGATAGGGGTTGGACGAATTCTAGAAGCTAGGGATAGCTTAAAATCGTCCAAGGCTATCTAAGGAATGGATTTGGATTGCTTTAAGAGAAGATTATCCAACTAGGGGGTTAAGCTGTAACCCTTAAGGAGTCTACAAGTATAAATAGACCCTATGGCAAAGGGAAATCGGCACTTCATCTAAAGTAGAGAACCCCTGGCCGAATCCCCTCTCCTTTCTCCCAAATCATCCTCCTTTCTATTTGGTGTTTGTAAGTCATTAGAGGAGTGACAATTGTGACCCTAGAGCTCCAAGACAACAAGATCAAACAAGAGATTTAAAGGTATGATTCTAGATCTGATTTAGTATTGTTATTACACATAATTAGTCATTAGAAGTCTTGGATTCAAAACATGTTTAATTAGAAAGCCTAGATCTAAGCATTAGAGTTTTGCATGCGCACATAGGAAAGTTCTTATGGCTAAAACCTATCAGGTTTTACCCGCGGCACTTTAATCGACCACACCCTCACACTTTTTAGAAATAGCAAAAATTGCAAAAATATTCCTTTCAACTGACGTGGCGGCCATCCGTAAAAAGAAAATTATGACACCCGATAACCTTATACAACAAATGCTTAAACATAACACTATTAGCCACGTCCTAAGACCAATTGTTAAATAAAGATACGACTTATTGGAAAAAGTAATAAGAATTATAAACACTAAAATAAATCATCGGGAAACTTTTAGAGCACATGGATTAACTAATGTCTTTATACACTTCAAATATGATAGGAACTCATCTATTTTAAGAAAGATTATAATTTGATACCTTAAAGTTGAGCGAGAGGAATTTGTTTCTAATCAAACACATACATAGGGAATCATTAGCTCTGAAGAATTTATCAACTGTGAACATTAGACATTTGCACAGGAAAATAATTGGAGATCTGCAGGCTTGGAGCAACAAAGAAGGAAGAAGGAAGAAGGAATACATAGGATATTTCTCTCTCTTTAATTTCTTCAAATTTAAATAAAGGCATAACTGTCCTTTTACTATAAAAATCTGTGGGGGGATAAAAAAAAGTCGTGGACGAATCACTTCCCGCTTGCTTTTACTCCAAAACATTTAGTGGTTTGATTCCTTTTTTATCACGTGTCTTGATATTTATAGAAAAATATTTATAGAAAAAGGAAGCTGATATTGCCAGGTATTTTTTTATATTTCCACTGAAATAAATAGAGATTTACGATTATGCGCCTATTCAATTAAAAGAGAGCGACTTTATTTTGTTTAAAAAAGGCACACCAACACAGAAGCAGAAAACACAGGTGAATAAGAATTTGATCTAACATCTCTAAATTGATTTTTTTAAAGAAAAAGGTGACGACACTGTTCTTCTGTGTATAAGAAATATCGGCATTGTTCTCTAAATTGATTTTTTTTTAAGAAACGCACAGAAAGATCTGTTCCATCAAAACCAGTGTTGAGAATTTGGTGTTCATGGGAAGCTGATATTCAACACGCGGATATTCTGTAAGTATCTCTCACCAATTTTCTCGTCTTTTCCCGTAATTGTGACTTGTTGTTTTAACCTTTTTTTTGTTTTTTCATGAATTTGAAGCTGTTTTTTGCATCTATGAAGTGGGGGTGGCTAGATTTTTGTTGAATTGGAGAGATGTTAGATCAAAACGCCTTGTTTCAGATGATCAGGTTACTTCCTCATGTCCTTCTCATGTGTTTCTACACTATATCTGCATGGAAACCCAATCTTGTTGATGCTTGTTGTGTTTCTTGGTTGTGTCTATTTTACATATCACCTCGATTTATGTAACCCTTCTCACTCCCTGCTATGTTTGTGTACATGAATGGAATAAAAAAACAGATCCAGTTGTTGGGTTTGTATCACACGAACAGAAAAGAAAGAAAATTAGTTTTTTTTAGGTAACTTTATATGATATTAACAGTTTAACACCCATCGTTCTTTTGATGGTGTTCAAGTTGCAATCACAACTCAAAATAAAAAAGAATTGTATGTTTGTTGAGTGTGGTTTGGAGTTTTCAGTGTTTGGGTTTTTTGAAAAAAAAGATTAATATTTCGCTGTCTTAAGTTAACAGGGGCATAATTGTCAATCTTAATAGACTTTCAATGGAGTCATCAAAAAGTACCGTGGCAATATCATCACCCATTCATTTTCTCTATAATAATAAAAACTAATTTCTTATCCTCTTGGTAACTAGCCCTCATACATCAATGTTTACTTTTCTTTTGTTTTAAATTAAAGAAACAAATCACGTATAACCATATTATAATTTGACCGAAATCCGATTCAATCGTCACAATTTATTTTCATTTAAAAAAGATAAAATATGCCTGCAAAATGTGGCTTTAGTGCTTGTCACATTATCTTGTTATTAGTATAGTTTTTTTTTTTTTTTTTTTTTTTTTTTTTTTTAAACAGTAGCATTATTTTTAGAACAAAATAAAATACGATCCTTAAAACGGATTTTGGGCAAACTATAATGCGTTTTATGGTTTTGCTCTAAATTAAACTCAAATTTACGGGGTCTTTTATTTGTACACCCGGTCCCAATCATGTTTAGACCACCCCTGATACCATAAAGAAACCATAGAATGCTTTAAAAGTGATGATTAAAAGGTCACATTGGCAAGTTTTGGAGCAATATGTCATGACTAAATAACTAGCATTCGTTACATGCTTGGTCGTTAAGTTATCTTAGGTCCTAAGTATTTCTATAATTTATATATACGTGTAACATTTTTAGTAAATTCAAATACTTAATATAAATATGTGTTATGCTTTTAGTAAATGTAAGAGTGATGTATGGAAAAAAGTGAAGTAAATAATGTAGCAATAGTTTTTGTTTAAAGTAGTTGAGTTGTTATTATGTGAGTTGCTTTAGTCTATGTGTTTATTTCCTTATAACCACCAACAAAATTGCCATGCATGCATGTTGTTCTAAACCTGTAAGTTAAACCACTGATGAGGGATCACTTCGGTAACTTATTTTAAAAATTACAGGGAATACCCCTACGAAGTTATTTGTCAGATACTTTGATACAAAGGAAGAATAGAAAGAAGAGAGATAAGAAATGTCGACGATTTATATTACTGCCAGAAATGCGGTTATTTCAACATTACTAGGCGTCGTTGTGTTGCTGCAGGCGGTTTCTGGGTTTCCGGCGATTCTCACTCTGGAAAGAGCTTTTTCGGTGAAGCATAGAATTAAATTGAGTGAACTTATATATAGAGACAATTTGAGACACGGTAGGATGTTACTGAAGGATACCTCTCCAAAAGGGGTTATTGGGTTTGTTGCTGAAGGAAGTTATGATCTTCGTGTTGCTGGGTACACGAACTTCCTTTAACTTTGGTTTTTCATTTTAAAATTTCTGGAATTATAGACTTATGATCATCATTGGGTGAACTTGAACTTCTTCTTGTAGGTTGTATTACACAAAAGTAAAACTGGGAACTCCTTCAAAGGACTATTATTTACAAATTGACACCGGAAGTGACGTGTCATGGGTTAGTTGCAGATCGTGCAATGATTGCCCAACATCAAGTGGATTTAACGTAAGCTCATTGTTTCTTATAATTCCTTTTTTATAAGGTGTGACTTTTGTGAATTAACTAGTATTTGTACAACGTACATGATTTTTTCTTTCTTTGAACAGATTCCTATTACATTCTATGACCCTTCAAGCTCATCAACATCTTCTCCTATCTCATGTTCAGACCAAAGATGTCCTCAAGCGAGTCAAACTTATGATTCTAGCTCATGTTTGAATAATCATTGCACTTACACAATTCAATATGGAGATGATAGTGCAACATCTGGTCATTATGTATCTGACTTGATGCATTTTAAGATTATTGTTAGTGGTACCGAAACAGAATTATCAAATACTTCAGCTTCAATTGTATTTGGGTAAGCTATCATTTTTTTTTATAGAATTCGCTTTTGTTTCCTGCTTTTCCAGAGTGACCGAACCATTTCACTCTTTAAATAAGACCGTTGATATTTTGAATTATGCAACAGTTGTGGCACAATTGAATCGGGGGTCTTAACCACACCTGATAGCGCACTTGATGGGATTTTGGGATTAGGTCAGCAAGGTAGGTCTATCATATCCCAACTTTCTTCGCAAGGGATTACTCCTAATTCCTTCGCACATTGTCTTGCTGATGGAGGTGGGCTTTTGGTTATTGGTCAACCAATGGTGCCATATATAGTATTTACTCCACTTGTTAAATCACAGTAAGTTTTCTTTCTGCATTAAGTTAAAAGGAATCCTTTATATATCTTTTACCATTGAGTCCATTAAGTCAAAAGAAAAACTATCTCTAATTTCATTCTATGTACGTTTGCAGGGGGTATTATAGTATAAGTTTGCAAAGTATTTCGGTCAATGATAAAATGTTGTCAATTGATCCATCGGTATTTGCAATAAATGATGATAAAGCAGGAACAATTGTTGATTCAGGAACAACTTTGGCATACCTCACGGAAGAGGCTTACACCACTTTTGTAGATGCAGTAAGTACGATATTATAATTCTATCAACAAAACTTTATAAAATTACATTTTTGTTTGTTAATGTGACATCATTGAAGGCATTTAAGATGCTTGACTAATGGTCAAACATATTTTTTGTAATCTAAATGTCGGTATTACTTCTGTTGATGCAGATCACAAAGTCGGTTTCACTCTCCGTACAACCACATACATCAAACGGAAATACTTGCTATTCAATTACTTCAAGGTTTACAACCTAAAAAATATTTTGTAGTTAAATTGAGACTTATATTCCTTCCTTTTTTGTCCTTACTAGTTAAATGTCCATTGGTTCATGTTTAGTTCTCTACAACGGTTTTAGACTTCAAATGCTACAAAATGTCATACGTATACCCTTAAATTTCTAATCTAGTTTTTGAGACTAAATGAGTGTTAATCCTTTGTTGTATCATTTGATTTGATAAATGCTTTTATTTTTTTTATTAATTACCTTTTATCATTATTTCAGTGTATCTAATATATTTCCCATCGTAAGTTTGAACTTTGTCGGGGGTGCTTCAATGCATTTAAGACCTCAAGACTACCTTTCTCACCAAAGCTCCAAGGTATGTTATATGACATTATGTTAAACCCGTATTTGATAAGTTGGACAAGATAAAGCAAAACTAGTTGTATTGTGTTTGATGTGATGGGGGTTGGGAATATATCATTGTGGCAAAAATAGTCCTAGATAGCTTGTGTAAAAAATGCAGCCTAATTGAATTATATTTACTTGAATCTTGATTACAATAGAGTGGGGCTGAGGTGTGGTGCATGGGCTTTCAGAGGAGTCACCAGAAAGGAATCACTATTTTAGGAGGTATAAATTATAAATTGACATTGCATTATTTTTATTTTCATTTTTTCACTCTGTTATTGGTTATTGATCAGACCTTGTTCTTAAGGACAAGTTTATTGTTTATGATTTGGATGCTCAACGGATCGGATGGGCACGTTATGATTGTGAGTTTATATATTAAAGAAATGAATAAGTTCTATTTAATAGACATGAAAAAAAAAATATTAAATTATGTTGTTGTTCAATATGTTGTTAGGTTTTTCAATTGTACAAGTCTCCTCCAACTCAAGTAGCAGTAGCGGTGAAGCTGTAACCCCCAGTCAGATTAGTGGTGGCAGATCATTGGGGATTAGAAGTCGACAACAAATTCCGGTCATTGTTATTTCCTCCATAATATACCTGACTATGATGTTTATTGGTTTTCAAGCTACTAGAATGTCCCTTTAATTTAATATGTATGTTTTTATTTTAGAAGCTAGTGGATATGAAATAACATTGTACTTGAATTCATAAAAGCAAATACATGTTCATGTGAATGAAAAGTCCAACCATTACTTGATTCCTAAATTGTAGGGTGTAAATGATCATCCACTTTGTTGGTATTATCACTTATTTAGATGTGGTAGAGGATGCGCTTTTCATGTTTCGCATGCAACTTGATATACTGTAAAATATACGTAAACTTGACACTTTATGTAACTATTACACATCACGATGCTGCAATGGCATGCCCTCAAGGTATCACTTTTTCACTATTTCCAACATGTACAACTAATGTGATTGATATCTATAACAATACTCCTTGTAGAATCTTGCACGCCAAAAATATTGTTGCAAATGTGTGTTTCCTCCCATGTTAAATATTTGTTCATTCTCTTATGAAGCATCATTTTTTCATAAGTGTTTAGTGCAACCAATATGGTTCTTGCATAATGATATTTTCATTGTTTTCATTTAACGCTAAAAAAAGTAGTTATTTTTTTTTGGTAACAATTATATAGGTATATATGTTTGTTTACCTCCATGGTCCTGCGCTGAGCATACATGCGTTGTATGGTTGTTAATTTGATTTCATCATGAATACCATTATTTATTATATTCAAATTAATGGGTTTTACGGAATAAATTTTGTTAAGCCGGACTCGTGTATTACCTCTGCTAGAATCTCGATAGCACAATAATGTCCACCCAAATTTACATCAAAATCAAATATTATATAGGATTCACATATCTACTTAATCAAACATTCCATTATGACACTACGACCAAGCCTTGTCTATAAAGTCTTATACAAATTTTGATAACAACACCCTCGGTAGGAATTCGTGAAGACATGAGTGAGGGAATTATCTATGAAGGAATATATTTTGTTTATGAAGGCAACTTCCCTAACATACCTACACTAGTAAAAAAATGCTAAAAGGACCCGGTTAAATACTATAAAGGACCCGGCTCTTCTTTTATGGGGTGCATCTTATAAGTAAAATCGAATAGAGCCCGCTTTTTAAAACTGGGACTTATTAAGCTAATACAACCCGGTTCCTTTACATAAAACTGGTTCTTTCTTTTTTTTTTTCTTCTAGAAAGACAATATGTTCTATATGGCCATATAACCCGGTTCGCATGCATACAACCGGGTTTTATCATGCAAGTAAGAGGTAAATCTTGTTTGATCAGATAGCCCAGTTTTTATTTATGCAATCGGGTCTTTTCAACGATTGTTTTATATTTTTTTCTGTTAAATCTACAAACCCAATACCAAGTCAGTTACTCTTTACAATTGTTACATTTCAATTTTTGCACTTAATATATCCAAATAACGAAATCCTTTAATTAATTTCCAAAGGATTTTTACATATTTACATCCAGTAACACTAGGATCCAACCTTAACAAGATGTTCACATATTGACGGATTTTGACACCAATCTCATTGCCACACCCCACTTCCCACAATCATGGATTTGTTCATGTTGCGCACTTGAATCACCCCAATATATACAAGCCGCTCAAACTAGATGCGCACCTGAAGACTTGTATGCTTCTTGTTGATAAATGTCCATCTAGCTTATCAACACCTACCAAAAGAAAACAGAGCATATTTAAGTAAACTGTGAATGAAAATGAGGTTTTACACAAACCAAAAATATCAAAAATACATACAATATTGCAACCCTTAGTCTCTTAGTCTTTGAGTATGATCATCTTGGGCACATGTACATCACTCCCCAACTATTTATCATATTCAACATAATATCAGTAATCACTAAAGAAAAAGGAACAATCAGATTATTACAATTTTTCGACAGTCATAATCAATATTAGCAACCTCAAATAAAGTATTTATCATATTCAACATAATATCAGTCATCAATGTTCACAGGGTGTAGGCACCTGTAAACATGTAAACATATAGCATTTTCTATTTTTTTTTTTTGGTAATCCTTACCATTGCATTGATTAGGAAAACAAATCAAACCCAAATAAAGTATATTAAAGCAATTTGCACAATTGTAAGAATAAATAGTGAAACAAAATACCACTTGAGAAAAGAGGTTTAAAATTTTTTTTAAGAACACAATAAAAATTGCATATACACAATAAAAAATAAAGTACGAGCCTTTTTTTGGTTTAAATCCTTTGGAAGCATAATTGTGAATAAATAACGTTTGAGTACTTTTAAAATACATTGTAATCCAGTTATAGCCCAGTTGTAAGCGTGAAATTTATTGCAGCAGGAACCCTAAACTATCTACAATGTCGACAAAGGTTATACTGTAACGACCCAATTTTCACGTCCAAAAATTTCATTTTAAATCAATACTTTGGAAAGCATTTGTAAATAAAACATCGTCTGATCAAATCATTCCACAATCATATATCGTGTTTGAAAACCAAAATACGAAATCAACTAAATATCAGAGTACAAATCCCAGAATAATCTCGTAAGGCGGAAACAATGTATGTGTATGATGTATCGCTACCGCGCCAGCTCCTTCCCTTTCGATGAAGAGGTACATGAAACCAAAACTGAAAACTGTAAGCACGAAGCTTAGTGAGTTCCCCCAACATACCACATACCATACAATCATATAACCTACAGTACAATCATATATCATACCATACTTGTCAGGCATTTCTGGGGTGCCAGACCTACCCGGTACGACCATTCTGGGGTACCTACCTACCCGTGCGGCCATTATGGGGTGCCGACCACCCTTCGGTCCTAACAACCGAACCTCGGGGACTGTTTCACCCCCTACCACTACTACTATCACATATCATAACATAACATACTATCAGACATATCTGGGGTGTCTGACTACCCTTCGGTCCTAACAACTAAACTCGGGGACTGATCCCCTCCTACTACCCCAAACACATATCTCAGATCATGCTAGCATATAATCATGACATCACATACTGTCAGACGTATCTGGGGTGTCTGACTACCCTTCGGTCCTAACAACCGAACTCTACTACTATAACACATCAAGCTAGTATATAACATATCAGGTAGTAGCAAACCTAGATGATATCACAAACACAATCATCTAACATACAACTCCTACTAGTGGTCCGACATTGTGGATGTAGACCCACCGCTACTGGAAAGTAACTCACCTCGAAGTAGCTACTGATCTGCACGGGAACTATCTGTCTGCTGCAGCTGCTCCGGAAATCCTCCGGCAGTAATTCCCACGAAACACTCAATCAAACACTGCTACTGTCCTTAGGGTAAAATGACCATTTTACCCCTGACCAAGTCAAAAGTCAAAGTCAAAGTCAACTTCCAATTGACCCGACTCGCCGAGTTGGCTCGCTAACTCGTTGAGTCCCCATCGAGTCGATTGTCCTCACTCCCGTCCTTACTCATCGAGTTAGGCATTGACTCGACGAGTTCTCCTTCTATACATATATTTAATATTCCTTCATTCGACTCGCCGAGTTGTAAGAACAACTCGTCGATTTCATTTTCATCCGATGAACACTCTGGTCCGCGACTCGCCGAGTTGTATGATCAACTCGTCGAGTCTGTTCTTGAGGCAAGAAGATTGCCTTGGACTCGCCGAGTCAGGGCATTGACTTTCCTAGTCCCTCTATTACTGAGTCTTGCTTCCGACTCACTGAGTCCACTTAAAACTCACTGATCCTACTCAGCGTAACTCAAAAGGGGAAAATCGGGAACTCGCGAATCGACTCGTCGAGTCTAAAGAACGACTCTCCGAGTCGCATGCATGAAATTACTATATACTCGATTCTGCTTGAATCCAATGCATTCCATTCATAGATCTCGGTTCTTAGGGTAGGTTTTACAGGTAAAGTTTCCAACTTTATGTGTATTCATGCATCAAAAGGGAAATAAGAGGCTTAACAAGGACTAGAAGAGTAGATATAGGACTTATACACAAGTTAGGCTCATAAAGGCAATAGATCCGAGCTCCTATAGCTCAATCATGTCTGATCTGAAATCCCTTAACACTATAAGGTCATTTACTCAAATATCAAGACTAGAAGAGACCTTAAAATGACTATCTTGAGATCTTAATGATATAATAATGAAGGAACATAGAGGGTTTCGAGTCTAATACCTCTAGAAGCTCTGAAATGGCACAAAGATTCTGGATCTTCTTCCTCTCCTCTTGATCTACCTTCTTCTTTTCTCCAAGACTTCAAGGAATTGCACCAAAAGCACTCAAATTACTAAAAGAAGGGTTAGTGCTTTGTGAGGGGTGTTCTGGATGCAATGGGGGCCGTTATGAGGCACAAAACGACGTTTAAATAAGGTGCAAATGTTTGAAATTAGGGTTTCATCCAGAATGGCGGACTCGCCGAGTCCAGGATATGGACTCGTCGAGTCGGGCCTGCAACTCGCCGAGTTCCAGCTAAAAAATGCAAAAATACTTAGATTAAAATACATACCAGGAAACAGGTGCTACATATACCCATTAAAAATAATTTGCAATTTTGAAGCAACTATTAACCAATACAATCGCAAACGTAGAGCAGCTAACAAAAAAATGGCAAAAAAGGACCACAGCGATGATCACCGCAGCAGAAGATTGAAGACTAAAGTTTAACCATGCAGATTATAAATAAAAGCGTTAAACTTACGCTAGAAGGAGTGTTATAGAGGACAACCGGCAGTGGTTTTGCACTTTTTCTCCGGTGATGATCGTAAGGAAGAGAGAAGAAGGTGACTATGGCTTACTGGTTGTTTTTTCTGTAGGAGATCGAGAAATTAAGGTGTAAAAAGGCAGCAAGGAAAGGGCCGTGTATTTCAAAATATTTCACGAAAATTGAGCGGGTTGTGGATTTGATGATGTCTCCTAATGGTGCTTATATTAATGTACTGGGTTATAACTCATGGACACTACGAGTAAGAAATGTAAAATTAATTTTAATTAAATTATAAGTTAACTATAGACCAATGGTAAAAAAAAGTAAATAATTTATAAATATACTATTTTTGTCTGTAATTTGATAATGATATAATGATAGGATGAAACTATGAAATCATAATGGTTTGAATATCCAATTGAGAATTTGT